AAAAGGCACCTGAGAGAGTCTGTGAATGTATTATGGCAGGTGATTCTGCAGATARCAGAGGGGCTCATCTTCTTATATCAGAAAAGAATAGTTAGAAGCCATTTAGCATTAGAAGTATTTGTACTGTTAGTATGTCTACAGCCAAGGTGGAAAACTAGGATAAAGGCCAGAAGAAATGGAGAAAGGCTTAGAAAGCATAAATTAATTTTGATAAGGGATAAGGAGAGTAAATAACTGACAGATTCAGGCTGATAATCTGTTAGAACAGAAAATATATACCTATATATTTGTGGCAGAATAAGGACCAGAGATACGAAATTCTGATTCTTGGTCAAAAGAGAACAAATACTGGGCTAGAGAAGAATACCAGGAGGGGAATATTGATGGAGAGAGTGGGGGGAGATGAGGAAACTTTCAGAATGGGCAAAGGGCAATTCTCTCTTAGAAAACACACACAAAATTTAAGAAAAGGCCTGAGAACTCAGTCAAGCTGGACAGGTTGAGAAGCAAAAACTGTTAGCAGAGAAGAGTGATGGATCTGGTTTAGGAGAAGCTGGAACAAAGGGATGTGGAAGTTGGAAATGAGCTGAAAGTAAGTAAAAAAAAGAGATAGTTGTTAGAAAATAAGAAAGAAATGGAGCAGATATCCCAAAGACCAGCCTGAAAGACATATATTTTGGTTGTTTCCTGTTCGCATAAGGATAACTTTGAGAAAAAAAAAATAAAAAAGAGAAAAAAACAGGGAAAGGGAAGATGAAAATGATGATGAGAGAGGCATAATGTGAAAAGATTGGTCAATAGGGAAGACAATGCAGAAGCAGAAAAAAATTTAATAAGTTTAGATAATGTATAAAGGACGCAGTGATTAAATGGAATGAAGATTTTGCATTTACAGGATTTGCAAGGGAAAACTCTTGGGAGACAGCACATTAGGAATGTGAGAATTATAGGAGAAAAGAAAAGCCTATAATGTAGGCAGACATATATGATAGGTAAGCAGATGGAGAAGAAAAGCCAATGGGAAAATAAAAGCAGAAAATAAGCCAATAAATGTCATTGTTCTAATGCTTAATAAGAGGTCTGGTAACAAAACAGTAAAAGTAAAACATTTTCTTGTATGGTACCTTTTTGTGTGGGATGAGGGGGTCTTGGGAAACCGGATTGGGAGCTAGGCATAGGCATCTAGTGAACCTACAATATGTATGGAGAAGAGGATAATCTGCTTTATTGTTATTTTAAACAGAAACAAGAAAGAAAACATTTAAAACTAGTGTCTACACCAGTTCCCAATAATAACTTATCAACTATTACATCTACTAAAATATACGTAATATCGAGTTTCATATTTGGATTTTTTATTATGATTACTTGTTAGCATTTTTATGGATAATTCAGTAAACAGTTATTTACTCTGTATTATAAAAAAGACCCTAAAATATCCTTTATAACTTCTTTTTATACTTGCATATTCTAATTCCGTTTTTATATATATCTTTCTCATTTTAAAAAAGACTTTGCATAAACTAAAACGTGACTTTGAATGAGTGCTGTATCACACAAAAGAGTTAAACATATTCCACTTATTGACAAATGCAATTATCTTTTACACTTAAATTAGTCCCATTCCTTACTCATTAAATAGATGCTTTAAAATATCAACATTACATATAATTTCAAGTTGATAGAAATTGTTTTTATTTATAATATATAAAATTCTTATTTTTAATCATTATTTCCTTGCATAATATCTTATTAAATACTGAAATTATAATTGCTAGTACAATTATTTCACTTCCCCACAGAATACTGAAACTTTCCTACATTTATTTGCTTAGATATAGAACTGCATAACATACTCAATATAGTAAATTTAATGATTGTGGTTAAAGACACTGCTATCCCAGCCATACTTTTATACACTGATACAAATACATAAGGGCATAAATATAATTTTGAGAAGCATAATAAATTCCTAAGTATTTGCCTAGTAAATATGTCTTCTAGAAACAAAATGCATATATAATATAGTATTAAAATCTATTTTGTATACTATATTCTACGGAATAATTCTTCTACATTACAGCATATAACATTCCATTTACAGATACTGAAAAAACAATCTAAGTACATAATTGAGTTCTGAAAAAAATGGAGGAATGTTATCTTTGTTGTCTCTGTGAAAACCGAAATAAAGTTTGGAAAAATCCCAGTCTCAGACATTGAAAATAATTTGCCTGCTAAACTCATTAATGAATTCATCTCTACTGAGTGTATTTTATTCTAGGGCTCCTGGAATCAAGCATTTCTTCCTCTGCAACTGCCTCTCTTCATTTCTGTGAGCCATATCTGTGCTGAGCACTGAAGTAAGAATACAGGGAATTATCTTTGCTCTTCTCTTAGGCCTCCCTTTCCCAGTATGTAGGCCAATGCAGAGGATGGACCAGAACGCGCACTAAAAGCAGGAGGGACATAAGCTCAACTGGGGGGACTGCAGGAGACAGACTGCGACGTGGCACCAACCAGAAAAGGTGGATAAGGGGGTTTCAACGGTGTGTGGGTTCCCAAACTGGCTGGACAAGCGACAGGAAGGTTCAGACAGAGATRGTGGCTGGTGGTGACTGGGATACTGGGAGTTGCTGGTGGTTGAGGAAACAACCATGGTGGCATGAAATTGAGACCAGGGAGACGGCTTGAGGAATGGGTATCTAGGAGTTATGATGTCAGGAGGAAAAGAAAAAAATGAAGACAGAAAGGAGATTGAGATTGGGTGTTGACAAAAACTGGAACTGAAGCAAGGAAAACTCACCTAGGAGAAATCATCACAGAGAGACACAGTAGTTGCAAGAACGCACATTAACAGAACAGCAGCAGGGACACATGGAGGAAAGGGAGCTCTTGGGGAACCTCCAGTGCTGGAAATGACCTGACACCTGGTATTGCTCTTTAGTTAATAGCTATTTCTGAAACCTGTCCCATTCATTATCCAGAAAGACAATAATCTTCTACTGTTGTATTTGTTTTATAGAGCTATGCATGTTACACAGTTCTATGTGGTAGATATAAAAGTTACAAGCTGCTTTACACGATGGTTAAGCTGATTATATTAAACTAAGAAACTACTAAGTCTATTTTTCTTGCTTCTCTTTCTCCTCCCTAAAATCTGCTGTAATTGTATGTTAAGACTGCAAAGCAGAGACAGAAAATGTCAGAATTAAGGTTGCCTTTGCAATGCGATCCAGTATCATGGTCATGACTTTAATTAAAAGACTTCAATTAAAAAGTATAGTTTTTTGCTTGTTTGCTTTTCTTGCATTTCCTTGGACAGATGAATAAAGAAAAAGTCATCATTAATGGTAATGCTGCCTTTAAGACCTTAATTTCACTTGTTGCAGAAACCCTAATATCTAAAATGAGCATAAGTATTCAGAGGATAGCTAGAAAAAAAAAAAGAATAATCATGGTTAAAAAACCTAARTGTTGTTCCCACGTAACTTGGGACTACGTCATTTWAAATATATATTTTCAGAATATTCAGTAATTATTTGTTGATGATTTTGTGAATATCTATCTTGGCATCCCAGCTCACAGTTGAAACTGAATTCAGCAGGAACAGTGATCTGAATATGTTTGTGCTAAAAATAAAGTACCTTGAAGTAGGAAATGATCCTTATTACTTAAAAGTTAAACAACATATCCCCTTAATCTTTCTGTGACTCAGTTTCTCATCTTTAAAATAGGACTGTTCCAAACTTTACTTCTCTATATGAATGCTCTGAAGTAAGTAATCAATCAATGCCATCAAATGGTGCTTTGAATAAGGGATACATTTTATGGGAAAAAAACATGATTCTGGAACAAAAAAAAACATCGTGACATACACCCACTTCACAGGCAACTTTTAATCTGGCATAACCTATCTTCTCAGTTATTGACTTTGCAGACATAACTTGCATTAAATATACCTGTGTGTATATACGTGTGCTTCTCCTATAAGAAGTTATTGGGGTTTTTTTTTGTATTTTTGTACGCTCTATATTTTTAAAACTTATTTTATTGTTTTGTTGTTACAGGCTCCTTGTGGCACTCTTTAGGAGTTAGAAAAAGTGATTAAATAACATACAGAAGATGTCAAATGATACTGTTAAGATGATTGACTTCAAAATGCAAAATAAAGGCAATTGAGAGTGATTACTGGAGCTAATCATTTTAGACTTGCCTTTGAAAATTGCACCTTCATTTACAATTGAAAACAAATGATATTTTTGCTGTTTAGTATTCATGTAGGTAGATTTAGCATGTTGACTTGAGAAGATATTATAACATAAATGCTATCTTAAAAATTGTTCTTTACTATTATCTCAGTGCTTGCAATATATATATATATTTAGATTCATGGGGGAAGTAATATGACTCTCTCTAGTATTTCATGTATAAATTTACTCAGCAGATTTGTTTTATTAAAATGTAAATAATGGGATATAGAACATTTGGTAAATGAAAAATACAGGAAGGGAATAAACAGTTTATTTATTGTTCCTGTTTAAAGTAACCTACTGAAGCATGCTTTTCAGTAACTGCCACTGAATATTAGCTATGGAGTTCTCATCAGGTCTTAACTGTTACGCATTAGGTCTACCCATTTATATAGTTAAAAGGTTCAAAATGTTTTAAATATACCTTTAAAAACACTGTGACGCTAATTCTAAGTACACATATTCACAAAACCTGCATTCAACATGTCTAAGATTCAACCCAACATTGCTTCAAATTAATTATTCTTCTTTAATTGCTTTGCATAAACAGAAATGACCTATTAATTTAAAGAAAATCTATCAGCACAGAATGTATTCTCTCTTATAAACAAGCACGATGAACTTGACCTTGTTTGAACTTGTTTTGATGTGGCCCAGATGGTAGGCTACATGCTTGAATAGCAGTCTAAAGCTGAGGAAAAACTCATATAGCAAGATCTAGATTTATAGCCTTTTGCAAATTCCTACCTTGTATTGTCCTTTCAGCATCTGTTCTGCCCCCGCTGCGGTCAGCTTCTATCTCTGGGGTCATAGAGTCTGGAAGCACAGAAAGGTAAGACTGACACATATTTCATTTGATTCTTATAGCCCTTTTTACAACCTGTTACTCCAATGCTGAATTACAATACAATCAACCTTTGTCAGTTTTTTTAATGTTGAACAATGACTGGAGGCCAGCGCAATTTTTTTGTGTTAGACCGAGAAGATTAATGAGCAATAGATTTTTCAGGCTTAAAAAGGGCAGGGAGGGGGAAGAGAAAAAAAAATTGACTTCTCAAGCTGATAATATAAAATTGTACTAGTTTGGACATTCTCTGCAGTTAATTTATTTGCACATGATGTATACAGAGTTATACAAAAACAAAGACAGAAAAGAGACTGTGTCTTCACCTACCCCTCTCCCCCCATCATGTTATAAATTATCAATATTGTAAACTGCTTTTGGCACTGAAATGAAAAGTTAATGATACAGAGGCAAAGAACTGACTTCTTACCATTTAGGACCCTGAGACTATCTGTTGAAGCTGCCTGTTTCAGTGTCTGCTCTGCTTGCTCCCGTCGCTTAGTCTCAAATTCGAGTGCTTCCTGCAATTTCCTCTTTGCCTTCTTTTCCTTCTTTAACCTTTTCTGAATTATTGCTGAGGGAAAAAAATAAATAAAATCAGTATGCTTACATTTGGATTTGAAACATGGTTATTGAAATGCAGTTACATGATTCGCTATCAAGGGTTCCCAGAAAGGGAAAGAGCTGCCTCAGTTCCTATAAACTGCTTAATTCTACAGCACTGATTTAAAACAGTGGAATCACTTGCTGGAATCACCACAGGTGATTTTTAAGAGCTCCTGCATTATATGGTGCTATTGAAAACTAAATATTCATCTGCATGTTTTTTTTTCTTTTGGCAATGGAGATGAGGTCCAGAAGACCCTGGACGTGGCCATTAGCTTGACTTTGGGTGCCCCTCTGCTGCTGCTGTCCCAGAGGTCGGGGGTTTCTGGGAGGAATCCCATAGTTTTGCTGCCTCRCTCTGCGTGTGTAGGCCAGTGTTTGCACGGCTTGGGCGCTTGCCTGCCTGCCACTCCGCTCCCACAAGAGGGAGATCCGGCCTCTGCTGGGGCCCAGCGGCTGCCGGCTCGCCAAGATCAGCAGGAAAGGGCACCRCGTGAGCAGCATTTCTAAAGCAACCCCTTCTATTCCATTTTTTCCCCCTTATGTTATGTTTCTCCCAGTGTGCAGCCACGGGAGTAAAACTGGCGTGCTCCTTACTTGAAGGAACATCTCACAGGCGATATATGGGGAAAGGAAGGAATAGGGCCAGCCACTGACTTTTGCTAGTCAGTGAGAGTAAAACTGAGCCTCTGAAGAAGGCATGTGAAGCACCACAATAGCTTTTTCTTCCCTATTGCACTCCTTCCTRCAAGGCCCATTCAGGATTTAATGGATGTACACATACACTAGAATGGTGGGGGGGCATATTTTCCATAAGGTTTCTCTGAATCCCTCTTGTTGTGAGCTTGTTCTTAGACTAATTGCAAAGGAGCTACCATTAACAAAACCACGATGCTGGCATCCTTCACAGAATACGGATAAAACAACACTGCCAAGACTTGTAAAGTGGATCATCGTCATTGTTACTATTTAATGTCTATTCTAAGAATGAACACTTTGGGAGTGACCTCGGATATTTTGTGTTTTTATGGAGAGCAGTTGAACACAAAATGAACATCACTACACACTCTGTAGTCAAAATAGTTATTTATATCCAAAAACACTAGAATTTTGACTCTTTTGTTTTTCATGCTACCGACTATTATATTCATTTACTAGCTTATACTGTGAAAGAACATGCATTCGCACAAAGGCTAAACTAAATACATTTTGAATCATTGCACGGTTTTAATGTTTTCATTGTAAGCACTTTGAAAGTGATTGCAATAAATGAGAAGGAAACATATGTTGCTTTCTGAATTAAAATGTCATCATGGCTGACACTTCATAGATGTGACTACAGCAGTCAGAGCCAGAATTAGCAAGCCCTCACTGTGTAGCTGCTCACAGAAGAGATATTATCCTACTTTCACTAGTTGATGAGACACATCCTGCAGTCTCAGGAATCACTAATTGGAATATACACAGAGCAAGAGGGAAGTAGTACAGTAAATAGGCAGCACTGTAGAAGATGCTGCAGAAGCAGTGAATTTAATATTCTCCAAAATGGCTAAAATATTTAGATGATCTGTCATGAAAAAAAAAGATATTTGACTTGTTTTGGGATGACAAGCAACAGATAAACATTGATATAGGTTGCCTGATGCTGGAGATCTGAGAAAGAAGTTTCATCTAATGGGGTTTGACCCGTATGTGACACAGTGTATACGTCTATATGCTACAGTATTTAAGTGTATTTCAGCTTTTTTCTCGGTATAGCTCTTGACTTAWTAAGGCTCTGGTACACTCCTCTCTGCTTGCGCGTGGTTCCATTAACACACGTGGAAAATTCTTTAAAGTATGACAGTTGCTACACCAAAAACAGGCAAAGCCCCCTATGTATTTTTCTATCTTTAATTGAAAAAATGAATTCTCAATGTAATCATCATCTGGCTTTATTTTTTCCTCTCCTATTTGGCTCTATCTATTTAAAGAACAACCTATTATTTTTCTTTCTTTTGWATCCGATAGCAGAGGGAGTATTCCTTATGACATTTACTTTACTGCATTCCATTATTAAGTGCTCATCCCATTCCTCTTTGCTCGGACTCTTTCACCAGTGCAATATCATCATTAGAGGGACACATGTGAAAAAGCAGGTAATGCACAGTGCTGAAAATAGCATTGGTAATTATTTCAGCACCCTGCACAAAGTAAGCTCTCCCTTGACTTACGAGGTTGAGTGAAATTCCGTTTACCTAATTTTAGCTGTTCAAAACATGCTGGTCCAGCCCATTCAGCTACACTTCCTTTAGAGGTAACAAGGAGAAAACGAATTTTTGACAATGTAAGTGATCTCACTTACCTGGCAGTGAAAAAGATGCAGGAATCTATCTTTACTCACTAGAAAGAGAAATTAAATCCTTGGCTTAAGCTAGGTGCTTAACTTCTAGGTGGTTTAACTTAACTAAAGTCAAATGGGGCCTCRCTTCTTTCTGCAGCGTATATGGTTGCCTCAGTTTAAAAAGGAAGATATGATTGAGTTGTTGGAGGACAGAGAATTAGATAAGGTTGTGGGGAAGAAGTGAGCTCTGTTAGAAAACTATTTTAAAGGTGCAAGTAGTGCAATTATACTGAGCAAAATAGACAAGTTGTGCACAATGGGATGATTCATTGCACAGTTATGATAATTATTAATAGTAATTGACTTTAAAAAGGTATTCTCCTAAGTTTAAAAAGGGAAATTAACAGTGTGACAGTCATAACCTTTAATGGGTCAAGATACGAAATAGGATTACATCKCTTACTTATTAAAAGACTATTGTTTAGATAAAGATATAATGATAAAGGCTTTGAATCCCAGTGTTCAYACTTTGAGCATCTACATAGGGATTCCTTACTTAGCTGTTTCACAGAAAATTAAACTGGGCAGGAAAATAATTGCAATTCTAACTTTCCAAAAATATATAACTCACTTGTCAAGGTTTAAAACAACCAGTGAACCCTAAAGGTTAACTGTCCCTTTCAAAGAAATTAGACACTACTAAAAGGCAAGACATGCACACATAGAAAAGTAGAACCATAAAGCAAGAAGTGAGCATGCTTCTAATGTAAACAGCTAATACAAATCACTGTTTTACAGTGGCTTCATTTCTGAAATCCTACTAATGTTGCCTTATCAAGAAGGACCATAGATGTTCCTCTGACAAGGAACATGTAAACAAGTGTTTAACCTATTGTGCACTAAAAACACTTAAATATTACCATTCTAATTTTTCTGCATCTATTCTACTTTTTCTATATCTATTATATACTGATCACCTAAATATGCAATATATGACTCTAGTATATAAAAGAAGAGACAGGAGCTCATCAAATCTTACAGATTTTTAAATTTGATATAAACTATGTATCGATTAAGATGCTATGCCTTTTTGATAGGGGAAAATAACCTACCAAATTCCATAATTTGCAGCTATGCTATTTAAAACTGTGTTATATATTACAGATATATACTAACAAGTAATTCTGAACAAAGAAAACAGAAAAAGGAACGTCCTCATTCTAAAACTCATGAAGGTGAGATTACAGTGAATTAGGCTGTTTGTATTCATTGCTGTCGGTCTGGCTATAAAATGAGATAAGGAGGAAGGGTGTGATCAAAATCTGGTCTTTGACTAAAATGAGTTTTCCTAAATAAATAGATTACAAAGGTGTGATGTCTGCTTAAGTGTCTCCAAGTTACCTCTGTTCTTCTGCTCCACAGCCAACTGCTTTTCAAGTGTTTCCCTCAGTTCTCGTTCCCTGAACAGCTCCATCTTCAGCTCCGTCTTTTCCAGTTGGACTTGTTTCTCTTGAGCTCTGGCATTGTCTATAGCAACCTTTAGTAGACCCTGTTTAAAGATGAAATTAGATACTGTAATGTTTGAAGAATGTCAGAAAAACTGACATAATAACAATGTCTGGTGCTTTTTCCTTCATTAGTCATATGGTATGTCACAGATAATCCTGCTACCAGTTTATAACATGCCAATTATCATCAGCAATTTTTTACTGGAGTGAACTTTTGCAAGTATACAAAATTTGTAAAAAGGCAGAGAGATGTTTTTTTTCAAAGAAGGTCTCCAAAGAATACTCAAGATGGCCACTGACTATGCAAAAAGATAAAAACAATAAAGCATAGGTTTATTCTTCACAAAGGATAAAAGTACAAGAGACAAGTCTACACTACTACTGTCTGTGATCAAAATGAAAAAAAAGCTGTCTCACTGAAAAAGTATTGGCAGTCTTACTATTTATCATCCATAGAATGACAAATTCAATTGCTACTACAACCCAAGCCAATAGAAATTAGCAAAGGGATTTACTTATGTGAGGGTCTTTTAAATCTTCGCCATTTTACTCATTGTTTTTGTTAATTATTATTATTTTAAGCAATATTCCCTATAATTTCATAGTAAGATTTCTTTATTAGGATGCCAAGCAGAGTACAGTTACAGAGCAGAAATTTATCTGTCTTGAAATGCAATCATCTCTGCAATCATCTTTCTTGACCTGGAAATGATGAAATTAAATTTGTTGCTGTTGTATCAGTACCTAACACTTTGTCCTTTTTTTTTTCTTTTTTTTTAGAATTCTTTCTTTTGTAGAGKAAACAGAAGGATCCCAGCACATTCAATAGCTAGAGACACTGAGACAGGGTATGCAAAAAAGAAAAAATGGGATTGAAAGAAAGGAATATGGAAAGTGGAAAGACTTCATTTTCAATATAGAAGCAGCCTGGCTATCAGGCTCTTGAGATTTTAGCTAAATCTCTCATTGAAACCATCATACTAAAGGCAGGTAATTAAGAATGGAGCATGGATAGGAACTCGAGTCTTTTACATCCTAGGCAGGTTTCCTGACAACTTAGCTATTGAGATTATTTGACCCAATGGAGATTTAATTACTGATATAAAACAACACAATGCCAACAAGAGAGACAGAAAAATACTCCTCGGTGACGATGCCAGAGGAGGATTCAGCTAACTGGTAAGAGATTCATGATCTAGACTCTGTTTCAAAATAAGCATACAAARGTCTTAAAATCATGTCCCACAACTCCCAAATAAGCTCCCTCTCAGTTCAGGCAAGGTTCCTAACTTAGGTTCTGGGTTGCATGTCTCTATTTTTTTTTCCACTAAAACTCTTTAAAGCATCCCTTAGAGGAATAAAAAATATCTTAAATATCATGATGTTTGAAAAATGGACCAAAAAAAAAAAAAAAAAAAGCATGAGCATATTTCTTTTCCTAGCTTTCCCAATGTCAATGCCTGCTTTGAAATTTGTGTCCTTCAAGGCCCTTTCAAGTCTAGCTTTTTTTCAGAGCCTATTATTTTCACTATTCCTCATTCTCATTCTTAACTAAATTGTTGCCTGAAGTGTTGCCTAAATCAGAACTTACTGCTTTGCAGGTTTATTATACTCCAAACCATTAAAGTCCACAGGAGCTGACAGAGCTCAACACCTTCAGACTGCAAGGCCCAGATGGTCACTTAAAATGCTATGCACAATAGGTGAGGTAAGTATGATACTTATGTTCGTGAGTATGGAATCACATTCAAAAATATCCACCTCAGCATAAAAAAATTGATTACAGAGATGCTTATGATTCTATCAGGCTTTTAATAAATAACTGAAAGTTGTTCTAAAATATTTTAAACACAGAAGTATTCTGCTTTGAATTTTAAATATGGGTGACTTTTTTGCAGACTAAAAAAGTCTGTAGGAACTGTTTATCAATATCTGACTTTGGCTTATGCCTGAACTTTAAAATACTATAATTTCCTCCAACTTGTCACATACTGGAACATGTGATTCATACAAATCACTAATAAACTAAAGTGAGTAAAACTATATGAACAATTATTCTTTTATGCAAAATAAATTATCAAATAATTTTAAAGCTGCAAACTCCTTTCCCCCAAATTCTGACAATCCATCTTGTTTAACAATAAAATCGAGCAACTAAGGCAACTGCCATCTTTACTCAATTCAACTACATTCATGTACATGTTTCTTCTTCATCAGGAACAAACAATTAGTAACAAATGAAAGAGATCATTACATCAAGTGCCCTTTTAGATCACCCCAATTAAAACTTTAGTTTAGCTGTATTTTAATTCTAAGATACCAAATTCTAATTTTCTGCTCTGATTGCTCTTGTTGACTTATCTTTGAAAGATGTACTCTCAGTGCAAAGCCTAGAGACTATTTAGCAAGATGCCAATGTTGGCACCACTTAATGTGTTGATTGGTTGTATTATCAGTAGCAGTTTAAAATAAATTACTATTAAACTATTATTGTCCTTGGCTGACAAAACACAATATTTTGGTGTTCTTTAAATATGAAACGATCATTATGAATAAACATGGCAAATGATGCTACAGTTTAACACCAATGTGTGCAATTTTATAATAAGAATTGCTGCAAAATATGAAGCTCCTAAAAGCATATTATATTTTCTATTGGATTTCTGTACCATACTTCCTCTCTCAACCTTTCGTTTTTTTATACTTGCTGCTAACATAGCTAATGGTAATACATTACCTATTGCTGCTGATTATGTCTGAAAAATATTAGCTTTTTGGAGCCAAGATCCACTAGGGACTACTTACAAGCTACACAAAATTAAGTTTCATTTTTAGAAGTTAAATCAGTGCACATCAGTAGGCGTCCAATGTGAAAAAAAAATGTGCTAGAGCCAAACTAATGCATATGCAAAAGTGCTATTGCTGCCAATGACAACTGTAATGCAGAAATACTGGAAACATTCCGTGTCTCCCTGTATTTGGTGCAGAAGAGAGTGAGAAAATCAATGAAAAAGTACAACATCTAAAAATCATCAGTGCACTTTGGAATAGGACTAGCAATTTCAGAGTTGTATGAAATTCTATTAATTYTCCCAGCGGACCATCTGTAAAAGATTATACAAAATACAGTATGTCCAACTTGCATTTGCTATGGCTAATCCTCTAACCTGATATTAAATCAATATGCTGCCAATGACAATGGGAAGTGCAGTGCAACTCACAACATTAACAAAAAGAAAATATTTCCCTTTGGGGAAAGTCAGATGTTAACGGAGGCTGGATAATGATAATTGCAGTGAACATGCTCAGGTTCCAGATTTGTTTTTAATATAGTATAGCTCTATCTGGAGCCAGGTTTTACACACAGCATACCATTTTTTTTTGCCTGTATGCCACTGTTAATAAMATTTCTTGATTTCAACATAATGTAAAAAGTTGACATTTCTCCCTTGGAATTTATAGACCACTATGACATGGTTTCTTTATTTTAATGTACTTCTTTTAATATTTTCCTCTGATAAATTCTTCAGAAATGCACCCCCCAAAAAAGCCAGGTTGATGTTTCTTCCCACTCACTGACTACTATAATTCTCCACATATCTCAAAATACCATCTTGTTAGGGCAATCTGCTGATCCTTTACAATGTAAGCGTTTATCAGGGTTCATCTCAGTTTAAAAGTCAATATTACTTATCATTATTAAAAAAAGAGACAATATGTTGCCTATTTCAAAATGGAAAAAGAAATCTAAAAGGTACTTAGAAGCTTTTTATGTTCAATGTGGTTATACTGACATGTTCCATATAATACACTTTTGTTCAATATGTACCTATATATGACACTGCCCTGTGAATTAGCCTGGAGGTCTTTCTAGCAGACCAGGACTTGCCTCCATCAATAGCCAATACGGGGTGAGCAGCGAGAATGGCAAGAATGGGAGAAACAGAAAGTGGAGAAACTGTCCCAAGAAAATCTTCCAGCTTGCAGAGAACTTGCAGAGAACTTGCAGAGAACTGCAGCTCAGGGTCTTCCTCTTCCAGTGTTTACTATTTGTGGTGAAAACATCTTCAAGTAATATTGCTTGTTTTTCAATCAGGAAATTACACATAAATTTTATGCTTTCCTTGCATACAACTTACATAAAACTTCCTTGCATATGGACTTGCAAAACCAGGTATCTCTCTATACCTATATCTGTACATTTTTAGCTAACTTCTCTAATAGCAAAATTTTGAGTATTTGCTATTTGTAACTGACTTAGTAACATAAGCAATCACATAACAAAAATTCGTGAATTTCTCAATCAATTACTCCAGAAAGACACCTTTTGCAGCACCTCTGATTGAATTCCTCCATCATCGGCAAAGGCATACTGCATAAATATAAATGGCATTTTTCCATAAACATTTTCTGTGAAAAATAAAATCATTCCCTTAAATTTTAGCATAAAATAACTTGAAGCGGAACTGTGACAGTTTATCCAGTGCTGCAATATTTTTCTTCTGTGTGTTTAGTCGTAGATGGTAATAGTGCAGGAGACTCACTACAATAAAGCCAGTTGTTTGCTTTGTTTTCTTAGGGGAATTGAGTTCATAATCATGCATTTCCTTTATTAAAATCAATTGCAACTTTACATATTTCTTTAAAAAGTACTTTGGAACAAGGTTATGTCAGTAGAATMACGGAAATACGTATTTTCCTGATAGAAAAATATAGCTACCGAGAGCAGTTAATTCATCCCTTAGATATTAATGAAAGTTCAGCTCAGGGACGGTTCAGATTCAGAGTCTAAAAGCTTAAGTACTATTACCTGAGAATACTGCAGTATCACAAAAGACTATGGCTGTAACAAACATTGGCATAATTGGGCCATGACTSTAAAAAGGTGAACTTCTGTGAGAGGTACAGAAACATCCTTAGCCTCCTCACTAGCACCCACACAGCATCTTGCCGTGACMCACCTTCCATCCCCTTTTATGCAGCCGCACACAGACTTCCAGTATTTAATCTGGAAGAAATCAACAAATGCACATGGAGAAGGAAGAGACATATCACTTAATTCAACCCTCCAGGGAAATTTATTTTCTATTCCTTTTAGTTGCTTAGATATAAATCTGAATATGAAAATATGTCCTCTGGATTATTTATTTTACATGTGTATTTGTTTAATTATATTTTGCTACGTTTTCTTATTTGCATTTCAGCAATCCCCTGCCAGAATTAAACCCCAGTTGTTCTGGGTACTGTGCAGTTATTATCTCCTCTGCAAAGGTACAAATAATTAAAATCATTTTATTTTTGTTTCAATGCATATTTATGGGGGAGTAAGAAAATAATATATATTTGATTTTAAAAAGGAATAAACCAAACTGGTAGCTATTGAAGACATAGTAAATAGACTTAACTTGCCTTTGCCTAAAATTATGGTTTAGAGATTATGGACTATATATTAAACCATTTATGTATGCATTCTTCCATATATAGAAACACAGACTAGCCTTGTGTTCTGGGGCCAATTCATAGGATGACTCAGTCTTCTAAAATAGAAGTGGCTGGATTTAGGTACCAAGTCCAAGTGACAGCTTGGACATAGACAGTGTCTAAATGCTTCTGCATCTGCAAGACTTTTCTTCCCTTTTTGTTTCAGTTACCTAGAATGTCTACACAGTTTTAACTTACCTACTCAAAAAGCAATGTTGCCATTGCCTGGTGCCCTCCTGAYTCTGACAAAATTCAAAGTTAGGGCTTCTGCTGCCCAGAGACTTCCCTAGACCATCTTGTGTTTCAAAAGCACTTCAGCATCAGAAGCAGGGGATGGACAGCAGGCCAGATTTTTTTTTCTTTTTATAAAAGGATAACTTCCATTGCTGGTAACCTCTATTCTTACTGCTGGCAAAGCTGGAGCAATAGAATGGTAAAGGGAGGTTACTGATTCACCTCTCCTTTGAATCTAGCTCTTGTAATGATACCAATGGACAGAAGGAGAGTTAACATGAATCTACCCATTGACAAGAGTGACTTGGTTCACGTAGGATGGGCATCACAAGTGTTGGGTAGCACTAACTACTAACAAAGTCCTGAATAATGCTGGGAACAGGGACTGTGACACAGCATTTCCCCTTTCACCAAAACCCGTTAAGGAGTCTGAACCTCTAGTCAAATGCTTAAAACTTAGTTCTGAAAGCAGCAATATTTGGGCACCTAACTCTGTGRTGAGAATGGAGTAGCGCCCTCTCAGTAAAATTGATGAATATGGCAACTACTTTTTAAATGTTACTTATTAGAGTAACTGCCACTATTGTGGACATGTTTAATAGACTATTGTTTTAAATAGAATATGTAGCTTTTTCTACCAAGCTGGGAAAATTAATCTAATGACACTATTTTAAAATGATTTTCTATTGTAATCCTTATAAATATGCAGCATTTGGAGGATGATGTCTTGATGATATGCAAAAGATTCCCAGTGTTCTGTGGAAACCATGTAGTGAGACATGGCAACATACTGAAAATATCCAATAGGATTTATGTTCCACCTATTAACCCTGATAGGTGATTTGTCATTTTGTAGAAATTCAAGGTAAGAAGTAGTAAGTAAAATATCATAATTTAAAAAGTCATAAAGAAATCTCTGGTTTCTTTATGCTGTTGCCTTTTATTTTATCAGTTCACCATGGCTAAGATTATTCAATAAACAAAGAAATAAATAAATGGGAAAAATTCAATGACTAAATCTGACACACACATTTTCTGTAAAATAAAACTGAATGCTTTCTTGGCAAATTAATCCTGGTCATTATCCAGAAGTAGTGCTGCTCTCTCATATTCAATCACAAGATTTGCTAACCTGTTGATGCTGAATGCTTTGCTCATTAGGTTGCTGTCTAGAGACATTGAGCACACACATTTGTCAAAAAAATTACTAAGAACTCTTCTATACATGTATGCACAGCTAAAACATTACTAAACATTTCTTCCTTTGGAAAAAAAAATATATTCTTTGCAGATCTATTGGAGGTATATTAACTATTACAACAGTACCACATTCTTTGATTTAAATACTTAAGATCCAAAATTCTGGAAACATYGAAAGCAGCACAAATAAGATCTTTCAAATCAGTAAAATATAAGAGTAATTAATTCTTAAGCAGCAATACATTCCATCATTATATTTGAAACATCAGTAAGGAGTAGATCATTTACGTTTCAGTAATGCTTCAGTATTCCATAAACCTCTTTAATATAATTTAAGAAGCAAAGTGAGCAGAATTTGGTCCTACTTTGTTTTGACTTTGCTGAATTCATTTTATTCAGRTTTCAGAAAGAAGCAGAAAAAAATACTAGAGATTAAAAGTTACATAGCCAAGGAATGTCTTCAGTGAGTACAATATGGCTGCAGTACCTCCTGCACTATTATTTTGCTTCTGCATGCAACATATAATCATATTGYTGCAAAAATTGCATCTGGAGAACACTTGATTGGGGAATTTGTGAGCAAAAACATTCTTTAATCTAAAACACTAATATCATGGCTCCAAGCTATATGTATGCGTGTACCTTAAACGATATTCGAATCAGGCTGTGCTGTAGACATCCTGACTACCAAATAGGAAATCTGCAGAAAATTTGGTAATAGCCTTTGAAGTCTTTTCTTTGAAGACAGTGCTTTAAGTGAAATGAGCTTGTTTCTAAAAGAAATGATCTTTGTGAATGTTTTCATGAGACACACATTTCAAATAACTTTAAGTATCATTTCCACTTTATCACACCTTTACTTTAAAATGACTATTTATTAAAGAAATGTTTCTCTGCTTAGTAAATGAGATGAACTTAAACARCAAGATACATTTCATTATGTTTTCAGCCTGTAATGAAAAGAGCATTTAAGACAAATGTTAAACACACCAGTGTCACTTTCATTGAATTCTGTGCTGTAGTTCATTATACAATCTATATTTTTATGTACTGCATCTGGCAGCTTCTCGTTTGCTGTGGTTCCCTTAAAATCTAAATTACTATAAAGTTTCACTAAATTAGTTGATTCAAATAATCTTATGAACTGATTAAGCTGGAATGGTCATTTTAATTTAGACAAATCTGCAACTGGCTCATCTCCATCCCTTTAAGCTGATCTACTGCAAGGCCTACCTGGATGTTAGTCAGAAGGGTCTCTATGGAGGACAATCCGTCAGGGAATAGAAAAGGAGATGGAAAACCCGGAGGTAGTGGCTGCCCATGCCCAGTTAGAGAAAGTTTTTCAAGGCTGTCTCTTGCGGTTGGTGTGGAGAGCGGGGTCTCATCTGTATGTGATTGAAACAAAAATATAGAACAAGTTACGCTTGTCTGTTTTTATTAGACCTCAGTAATGGCTTCCCTAGTGGTTTCCAGAACATTTATTGCAAATTGGTTCCTGCTATCAGGAGAAAATGCTTTCTGCTGAATTTTCTTTAATGAAAAAGCTGTGGAGATACAACAAGATAACATTAATGAGTAACTTTATAAGCCTTTTAAATGCAGTCTCTAATGAGACTGAGTTTACAGTGCCATAGAATCTTTTTAAAACAAATATTATCTCACATATACTTGTGATAATATATTCAGACTGACTTTATGGGCACCTTCCCAATTATCTCATTTTCGTTTGTGTTCTATTTGGATTGACAATGGAATATTTTCTAGCACAACATATATTTTGTATATGAGAAGTATTTGAATACAAGTCTTCCCTGCAATTAACCCTTCCCATACATAACGGCTTCATTCACATCTAGGGAGATTCTGGAACACAGGGGAAAAACTACCTATCTTGGGTGCATTTTTTAATCAAGAAAGTACACCTGATTCCCACAACTGGAACACGCTCTGAACAATAAATGAAATTAACAGCACGACTACAATCCATGGCCTCATTTTTTTTTAAGCACGGACATCTTTTAACAATTAGTGCTAAACTCCTCCATGGAATCGCTRTAACCATCAGATCTGATCAGTTGTGACATCACGACGGGAAAAACTCCCACAGCTAGAAGACTTCTAAGATTAAAGTTTCACAGATAATCTCTGAATGGATTAGAAAGGCGAGTGCAGCAAAAAACAATTAATAGAGATTTCAAAATACTTCTTCTCTTCCTTTTTAAAAAACTTTTTGAAATATTTTTAGACTGCTATTGATATGATACAGAAATTTAGGTCAATTTCTTTGCACCAGATATTAATCGGAATTCATCAACAAGAGAAATATCTATATGTGCACAGAGATATAGATAGCTATATATACTCTTCTTACTAATGGCACCCTCGTTAACTCACACATATTGATAGATCTCACTACAGTACAAGGACAGACGACCATATTCCTGGTTCTAGGCAGATCTCTGCATAGCTATTTGACTGCAGAGGAGTTTGTCAGACTTGTTCTTTTTCACTTAGGCTTTGAACATTRTAAAGATCCACATGTATATTTTGAGGTGTTTTAATTTATTTTTCTTTCTCTCTTCCCTTTCTGTAATTATAGTTTCAGTACAGTATATAGTTATACTTTATCCTAGAATTTTCATCAGGAATTGCATTACGTAACTGTTCCAAGACTATTTGCTGAGGAGAAATCTCCTACTAGGGCACTGTATCTTCTTTGTGAGCCTAGTCTAGGAAGAATAACATTGAAATCCACTCCAGCAAAGACTTTGGGCTTTTATTGCCCCAGGGAAGAACAGTGAACTGTAACTCATTCCAACAGACCTCCTCCCCACTGCTTGAAAAGGAAGCAATCTCTGCAATCTTTTTTAGGTGCAGATCCCCCACCTCTGTTTCAAGTCAGTTGTGTGTACCTGCAATAAAAGCATCATGCATCATGTCTCCACACAGCCTTTTCCTTGTGTATTTATGAAAAAAAAAAAAAAAAAAAAAAAAGGCATTTGGATAACCTTTTCTAGGCTAGCCCCACTTGCTTCAAGCTACAGTCAATATAGAGAAAGAAACATCAATTTAAGGCACTGATTCTTTGGAATTATTACAGTCGAATACTGCAGGAGGAGACAAATCTCTATGGAAGTGCCTGTTCTTCTCCAGTGACTGCAAGTGGAGTCTAAGCAGACTAGCTCAAACGGAGAGATCTGCATTTCATGAGATCAAGATGACCCCAGAAGCTGTTCTTCCTGCTTCATCATGGCTCAAAATGTAAGCAGCCTATACAAGAAGACAGACTACATTTTCTGTCCCCTCATTTTCACTTACAATATGTGGAACAATTTTTACTTTCTCATAATGTCATCATTCAAAAGCTTACTGAGGTACGCTCTGTGAAATGGACTGGTGTTGATCAAGGAAAGCTTCAACCAACTCAGACTCCTGAAAGATTTTTTCAGCTATATTTTATCAAATTTTCCTATGATATCAAAAGTGCTGAGAAAAAAAAAAAATGGGCAGTGGATCATGCAATCATCATGCACACTCTACAGAAAATCACACCAGGCTCTGCAGCCCTGCTCTGTGGTACACCCTCCCCTCATGCTACCCAACAGGCCAATCCTTGTAGTCATTTTGCAGTTATATGGTAAGATTTGGGCTTAAAAATGCATTGCTTCTTCCTAACTATTAAAATATGCTCAAAATATTCACCACTTCATTAGAAAAATAAATTAAGCATTACTGGGTATTGCATTGCTCATTGCTCTCAGATCATCCTGCTAGTTTATCTTCTGAAATCCTCTTTTAGTATGAAAGATGCTTTTTTTTCTAAACTGTTGTCAGAATTTATATAGTTTCATTAATCAAAACAAATGAACAAAACAAAACAACAAAATGTTTAGATAATAGTTTGATAAATACTACACAATATTAGYGCATAGTTGGAAACTTTTTTGTGTTGCAAACATAGCTTTCCTAAATGACTCCTCTCCTCTAGAGAAAAAATTGCAAAACCACTTCATTATTCCTTTCCTCCATATTTTCATTACAAAAGTATGTCTTGTGACTAAACAAACATTTGCATATTTATATTTCATAATCAGTTCGCTGAATTTTGACTCAATTTTTCTTAATATAAGCAATCCTACTAAAAGTACAGTACTTGGAGAACACAGCAAGAAAAATTTCAACTAGTGTTGACAGAATCAATTCATATAAATGAGAAAGTAAACTGATTTCCCAGGGAAATGGGCCAAYAGTCTTTCATACTTCCTGAGACAACTTAGAGTCACCCTAATATTCCAAGTCTCAAAATGTCAAAATATTTTAACACTTTTTAGATAAAATTGGTCCCCTTAAAACTACATAGGACTTAYGCTGTTTGAAACCTATATTCTCCCATGCAAATGCTGAAATACAGAAAGCTCCTAACAAAAGTTATTTTGTCAGAGAATCTAGACAAGAAACTACATTTTCTACTGTGTTAGTACATGGCTAACCAAACCCAAATATATTTTAAATATAAATATGTATTAAAGTTTACTGCACTTTGTGAATTCTTAAACATGTTTTTGAAGATTKCAAAGGCTTTCTTATTACTTCAAAAACAGTTCAAAAAAAGGTTAAAGTTATGCAAAATGGTATTAACCCTAAATAACATCCAAACTCTTATGTTATAATAAATAACAGAAACAAATTTACACTGAAGGGTAAGACTAGAGAGCTGAACTTACTATGAACTTATTTTAATGAAACTTCAGCTCAGAAAAATAAGTCAGACTAATGTGACTTTGTTTTCCTGATGTCCCATGTGAAATAAACTTTGAGTGTGAGTATGTTTGAAACAGAGCAAAATGTACATATTATACACAGGAAGCATGGATATTTGTGGATGTGAGATAAGCGAAGATTGAGGGAATCTTGAAAAAATGCATTTTTAAGAAAAACCACATTGTAAACACAGCCAATTAAAACATAACCACATATCTTAGTAGCAAAATAATATGACCTCTTACCATTAAAGTATTTAAAATTCTTCCGTTCCTGCAAATGTCCTCTATTCTCAATACAATGCTGTATCTTTGTTTCCAAATAATCATTAACCTAACGTCTTGTAAACAATCAAAATGAGACTGCAAGTTCCCTTCAACTACATGCAGAACCACAATGCAAATACGATAAGCCCTTGCGAGGAGACAGCGATCTGGTGTATTTAGTCTGGAGTCACCACAGAAAGCATCCGAAGAGAAGTCACTGCAAGAGGGTGAAGAGGGGTGAACACAACGGGTAATCTAAAAGCTCCAGTGCCAGAGCTGAGCACAGCAGTGGCAAGCAAGGGAGTAAAGAGAGCACAAAGAAGTGGCCAGGCCTGCTTTTGTGTGCACAGAGAACGGAGATATTATATATTAACAAATAAACAAGCACAGGACAAGCTGTTGCTTTTACAATATCTGAACAAAGATGAATCTGTACCTCGGCACATGAACTAAATCACTGAGTCAAGCCCAAATGTGATGCATATCTTTAAAATATTTGTAAATGTTACATTCACTGCATCTATTGTACCAAAATTAAAAAAAAAAAAAAATCACATGGTTTTGTTCAAAACAGATTTTATCTGACAACAGCAGCTGGTTTGGGCCAAATACAACCAACATTTTTCACTGCATTTGGTTTGCTGCCATTCTATTTTATTCTTTTACCAGATAACATGGACACAGACATTCAGGATACAGTGACAGCCATTTAAACAAAAATAGCTAAGTGGAGGTAGTCATTCCCTAGCCTGTGCTCCTAAAGGCAAGTAGGATAAGTTCAGGCCAGTCACCAAGCAAACTGAAGAACATAGAGATTGCCAGGATTTCAATGCAAGGTATAATATTGTCTCCCCAAAAAAYGCTACATAATTACTGCCTTTCTGCAATGTTTTCTTGTAAAACATTTTGATGTTCTTTTTTGTTCTCTGGAAAACATTTCAAATTCCTTAGTTCCTAAAACAGGCTTGCTCTTAATATGTTTTATTTTGATGATCTAATATGGCCATATATTCCTTTTTTATTAATAAAAATAATTAAAATAAATCTGATGTATGAGTTTTGTAGAAACAAACTATATAGTTTTACTTAATTTAAGTTTGGTCTACAGTCATACACTCCTAAGTTCAAAGTTTTGCAAYGATTCTGTATTTCATCCTCTTCAGAGCTAGAGGTTTCAGTCTTAAGAAACTATTCTATTTTAATTCAGTTGTAATTGTTGATTTATAGGAACATAAAAAATGAGGGGTCCTAAATGTTGAGCAAATTCAGACTGATAAGAAACAAACCCCATTTACTTCMTCAATTCACATATTACCCTGGCTGCTTTATAGTTTTGGCTATTCAAGATTCACTCCACA